TAATTGCATACTTAGAACTATGACCTTATTGCTAATTATAACTTTTAAAGTTTGATAAAAAAAAAATTACTTTTAAGCCATTAATTTTGTTTTAATTGACTAAAATCAAAAATTGAAAGGATGAAAATGATTTTAATGTAGAGGAAAGTCAATGAACTAAAAGTAAATGAATGTGTATTCATTCCACTTTCTTTTTTTTTTTTTTTTTTTTTCTCCTTCATTTTTCAATAAATTTTGCATATTGTCATCGCATCGTTCAATAAATCTATACAGCATAAAATAGTATTTTTTTTCCCTTTTTTATTTTTATTTTTTTCGAACATACAACGAAATATAACAGAAATGGCAATGACCTAATTGGCAATTGTCACCATCACTGCAATCGAGCACTTTTTCCCAACCAATGCCGCCCAGCTGTTCGTCCCTCTTTTTCAATGAAATTCCTTTTTAATATATATATATATATATATATATATAAACCTTGTGTTTCCTTAATTAAGTCTTACAAGCACATTTCTCCTCCATTACCTTAATTACGAATCAATAGTGATGTTGGAAAACAATTATAAGTAAGGATTACATATAACGACAATAAAATATAGTGATAATGATGACAAAATTAATTTTATCACTATTATCAATTATCATTGTCTATGCTGCAAATTTATCATTCTCATATGCTATTACATATAGTAAATGTAAATTATGAAATATCATATCGTTCCAGAATTAGGAAAACAAACAACGCGCTAAAGCAACAATGGTAGGATATATAGATTATTTGAAATGATATGATAATAATGAAAATTTAGCTCTTACATCCTTATCATTTGCTGCCTGTCCGTTGTACTTATCATTTTTGCAACTATCGTCATTATCATTATTCATCAGTGAATTTGCAATTATCATGTTTTTATAATTTTTTGAATGATGAATGTTACTTTATAGGAAGTAATACCCGAGAATATTACTTTATCATAATTGATTTCTGCAAAATATATCGAATGTGTAAGCTACTCATTACTTTCTTTTACTTTTTATATACTTAAAAGAAGGTAAAATGTTGCTGAAACGAAAAAAAAAGTAAAAAATTTAAAGACTTGCAGGAATCTAACTTCATTTTTATTGCATTTTGAGCAAAGATTCAATAGATTGGGCTCAGATTTTCTTTTTCTTGTTTCACTTTTATCCAAATCATTCTTTTTCTTTTTTTTGTTTTATTTATAAACAAACATTCATACCATTATATGACAAATAAATCTGGAAAATTTATTCCATCATTATTATCATTATCATTGATATCTTTATCTCTTATTATCATATGTCATGCAATTACCTTTATCATAAAACTTTATCCGTTATCATATTTATCATCATAATTATTATCATTATATTA